GAAGCCAGGGTGCTTACTTTGTATACATCCTGAGCCTGTGGAAGAGGAGGGCATGGAGATTATGTGAGAGCTACACGCCCCTTAGGTGGGGGTAGCCTGTTTACAATGTAAGGCAGGGAAAGAAGCTGCTTGCCAGATTCCTCCCTTTTGCTCTGGCTGCTTTGCTGTTCGGCTGCCATCCCCCCTTTGCTCTTGCTGCTTTGCTACCTTCTGCCTCGGAGCCAGCCAAGTATGGACTGAAACCTCCACAGACTATAAGCTAAATAAACCTTTCCTTCCTTCATTTTGGGCGTTGGGTATTCTGTCTCAGCAACGAGAGAAAAGTAACCAAGACATCAACAAAGCTTAAATACATTTCCTCCCATGACTATGCCATTAAGTCTTGACCTGTCTACCACGCCCAAGTTGGTAACAAACCAGGGAAGTGGATCAGTTAAAAAGAAATCATCGGGGGCTGGGGATTTAGCTCAGTGGCACAGAGCCTGCCTGGCAAGTGCAAGGTTGTGAGTTCGATTGCTGGTACTGAAAAAGAAAGAAAGAAATCATCCTCCATAGGAGAAGTAGAGGTGCAAGTGTGATGCTAGGTGGCAGAGGGATGTCAGCCTCCCAGTGAGGACTGAGGTCACAGACTAAGCTTTAGTTCCTGCCACCACTGGGGACTGTGGCTGCGTGGTGCTTCATCTTTTAATTTTCCAAAAAAGCCAGAAAATGGATTTTTATGGGAACTTTCTCAATTTGAAAATTTTGACCCCAAAATTTAAAAACACTCAAACAAAAGCAAAATAAAACCTCAACGATGTACCAATATTAACAACTGAATTATTCACAATAGCCAAAAAATGGAAACAGTTTAATAATTACAGGATGTGCTCGGGATGATGGCAAGGTCTGGAAATGGGTGGGGCTGAGGGCTGCCCACTGAATATTCCTAATGCTGTGGAACACATAAAGAGGGTTAAAAAGAATTATGAAGATCAAATGAAACAGTGTATGCATATATTACCCCAATTAAAAATCAGAGTATAATTCACTTTAAGAGGTAAGTATATACAGAATTTTTAAAGTAGTATATGGTATTTATTTTACTTATTTTTACTTAAGGACTTGGAAGATGTTGTGGGCTAAGTGTTGGTGTCGCCTAAAATTCCTGTTGCAACCTCACCCACGAAGCAAGAGTGCTAAGTAAGAGGTAGGGGCTCAGAAGTGACTAGGTCAGGAGGAAATGAGATCGGTGCCCTTATGAAAGAGGCTCAAGGGAGCCCCTGTCCCTTCCAGCTGGGAGGACAAGGCCATCTGTGATGCAGAGTAGCCCTTGACAGATGGACCTGCTGGTGCCTTGCTACTGGACTCCCTAGCCTCCAGAACTATGAGGTATACATTTCTGCTGTTTGTACATCACCTGGTCTATGGTGTTTTGTTATAGCAGCCCAAATGGACTAAGATGGAAATCTTCTAAGAAAGATTTTTACAGGTTCAAATTCATTTGTTTTATGATAAATTGGACTTGAAAAATTGAAAAAATAAAACTGTAGGCCAAAAATAACAAGTCTATAAACCAGGTGTGGTCCTTTTTGCAATATGTATAATGAGTTTTAAAGTGCTGCAAAAATAAAACTTAAGGCAAAAGTCAAGGAGGATTATTGGTTGTCCAGGTTGCACTGACACTTGAAGATCAAAAAAGGGAGGAGATAAGGAATTCTCCCCTCACTAAACTAGATGGAGTGAAAGTAGAATGGTAGAGAGAAATCTGGATGACCTTGGGAACTCAGATATGGGAGCAGAGACAGCAGAGCTGGGCTTCATAGGCAGGCCCAGCCTTATTTCCTGCCCAGAGGCAGGAGTAGGAGGGGCTGGTAGCATGCCCAGCCCTAAGCCCCAGGGCAGACTGCTGGCGTCCCTAGAGCACCAGGGCCTGTTTGATGCAGGCCCTGTAGGTTTGGAACAGACCATATGGACAACATGTGGCAGGAGCAGAGTAGAAAGTGCTCTGTGCAGGCAGAACAGATTTCAAAAGGGACTGAGCCCTGCACACCATCATCTCTCGAATCTACCAACTGTCATAGAGGGAGGCCAGGACTGCTAGGACAGGAAGAAAATACTGAGGGTGGTGAGTGAGGGTTTTCCTCTAACATTAATGCTCAATAAAACTTAGCTTTCAGAAATAAATATGTTTTGCTTATAAAATTCTAATTTGAAAGATGTCAGTTACTATAAAGTGCTTAAAACATTTACAAACTTACTGTTTTCTCATAGCACATCTTACCAAAATAAGTCTTTGAAATGGAGTCAGTTTCTCCCAGGGAAAATTTATAGGATTATACATTTCTTCACTTTCATTCAAAAGTTCAGCTACATGTAGGAAAAAGAGAAAAAAAAAAAAAAAAAAAAAAAAGAGAAATTAACAATCAAATACTTATATCACTAGTAGATGTCCCAATACACATTTTTGTTATAAAATTATAAAGTTTTTGTTTTTTAAAAATACATAGTTGACTTTTGAGCTTTATTTCCGTAAGATCTGAGGCACTGACAACTCTCCTCTGTACCTCAAGAGAGGCAGCCCTGAAGATAGTTTCCTCCACCTTAGTCCATCCGAAGTGGCTGCTGTGGTGTAGTGCCAGAACAACACAGGACACCTAGCACTTTACAGCTAATCACTCCAGGGGACAATGACCTACCTAAAAGAGACACAGGAAGGGGAGCCCAGGGGATGTCACCCTCCTGCTGGGTCCCATCCTGCAGGGTGGGGAGCCATTCCATCTTCACCTCCGACTCTCTGGGGATGCAGGTATCATCTCTACCTGCCTCATATTTCCACAGTCATTTCCCAATGTCTAACTTTATTATAAAAACATCTTTCTCGAATGTAGCTAATATTGGCATATTGATTTTTAAAAATTCACATGAAAATCTCATTGTAAATGGATAAATTTGGGGTTAACTGTAAAATGAAAAGATACTTTACAAAAAGGCCAATAAAGAGATCCTTAAAATAAAAATTATTATTATACTAAAATAGATCATGGATTGCGGATAGATTTGTGACAAATACAACAAAATGAAGCATTAATCATCTACAGAAAAAACTCCAGGAGTGGAATAGGCCTTCTTAATTAGAATTGGAAATCAAGAAGCTATGAAAATAGTCATAATTGACTAAACACACATTCCAACATTTGTATAGTACAAAAATCATAAACAAACCCAATAGACAATGAACAGACTTAAAAAAACACTTAAGGGCACAAAGATTTAACTACTTAAATATTAATAGGACTCTTATAAAAGGCTGAGAAGGTGATAATCCAGTAGAAAAATCGGTACAGAATCTCAAAAGAAAAATCCAAACGGTCAAAAAACATTCAAAAAGAAATTTAAACTTACTAATAGTTAAATTAAAATTAAAATATTCAGAACTTTTCAGAGTGGCACGATTTTTTCCTGTTGAAAAAATGACACTCGTATTGCTTGTGAAAACATAAATTATCACAGTCATTTAAAGAAATTAGCCTGGCCAGCAACTATTTATAAAAAATGATTTACTGTCCACTAGCAACTCAACTTCTGGAAACAAAATGGAGAAAAATGTGGAAGGAAACAAATTTGATCGTATCTGAGCAGGCGTAGTAGTGGCAGTGGCAGGGAAAGATGAGGAGGGGAAGGTAGAAAGAGAAAAGGGAAAAGACAAAAATAGCAAGTAACTTAAAGTGAGATCCATTTTTTAAGGAATTTTTAGAACACACATCTGTTACATAAAATGAAGGATCTGTGCGGGGCTGGTTGGAGTCAAGGTTCAGAACTAGTGTGGTGTAAAGACAGTACTGTGTTAAATTTAATTGTGCTCAAATCCTGATATTTCATCAGTTTTTCATCTGCGACAATGAAGTTCAGAAAATCATTTCACAAGATTATTATGAGAATTACATGTGCTGATATCATAATTATGTTCTTCTGTTTTTTCAGTGTAAGGTAGTGAGCTGTTTATAAATTGAAGACACCCCCCTCACGCACCCACACACTTGAGTACAACCATGAATGGTTCCTTACGTTCTTTGGGTGATTTCATGCTTTCTGAGGGAGCCATCTCTAAGCAGAAGGCTGTGCTCATCAGAGAATACACAGCCTTGCTGTTCTTAAATGTATCCCACTGTGGAGGGTTGGACAGGAGGGATTTGCACAGCAGGGAGAAGGGCTCCAGCTGCCGGCTGATGTGCTGACATTGCCTCCACCGTGACACTGACAGCCACTGAAGGTGTTGATTTTTACACTCTTCAAATATGTCTAATAGAAAAGGAAAAATGATAATATTAGAAGAGCTCAATTATTTACCTTTAGTTACTCTTTACAAAGTGGATGATTAACAAATATTTGCTGTTGAGGAAAGAATCATTTTGCATAAAACTAACACATAAAAGCATTATTTTATTGTGGTTAAAAAAACCCCACATTAAAAAAAAACCCCACATAATGTAAAATTTTTCTTAACCATTTTAATTATGTAAGTCAGTAATGATGTATTTGCATTGCTGCAAAACAAATCTCCAGACATTTTTTTCTGCAAATCTGAAACTCCATACCCATTACACATTACACAAAAACTCCCTTTTGGCCATTCTTCCAGGATGCTGGTAGTCACCATTTTTCTCTCTATTTCTATGGATTTACAGAAGGCTTCTTTAGATACCGCATATAAATGCTGTCATACAGTAAGTATTTGTCTTTCTGTGACTGGCTTACTTCTCTTAGCATAAGTGCAACAGTGTATGGTAAATTTCCTTCACTGTAAAGGTTAAGTAACATTTCACTGTACATTTATGCCATATTTTGGTTTATCCTTTCACCCATTGGTGGGCTTTTGGGTTGTGTTCCCTGTTGGCTATTGTAAAGGGTGCTGCTATGAGCATGGGTGTGCAAGTGTCTCTTCCAGGTTCTGCCTCCAGTTTTTTGGATATGCCCAGAGTGGGATTGCTGCATCACATGGCAGCTCTAATTTTAATTTTTTGAGGTGATCCACACTGTTTTCCACAGTGGTAGCACAATTTTACAGCTTCACTAGGAGTACCCGAAAGTTCCAGTTTCTCCACATCTTTGCCAACATTATCATTACTGTTATTTTTGTAGTAGCCATGCCCATAGGTATGAGGTAGCATCACAGTGTACTTTGATTTACATTTCTCTGATAGTGATGTTGGGCACCTCATTCTTGGATTTGCGCATCATCTTTGGAGAAATATCTACCTGAGTCCTTTGTCCATTTTAAAATTATGTTATTTGATTCTTATTATTGGGTCATAGCGGATCTTTAAACTTTCTTTATACTAGTTCCTTATCAGATAGATAATTTGGATGTATTTTTACCATTCTGTAGGTTGTCTTTCACTGTTTTCCCATTATGTGAAAAATTTTGAAGTTTGATGTGGCCTTTTTTTCTGTTTTTGTTTTTGCTGTCTGTGATTTTAGTGTCATATCCCAGAACTCATCCCTAAGTCCAATGTCATGAAGCTTCTTCTTCATTTTTTGCTAAGAGCTTTATAATTTTAGATCTTTAATCTATTTAGAGCTAATTTCTGTATTTGGTATAAGTAAGAGCCCAACTCCATTCTTTTACATGTACCTATTAAGTTTCTCATCGTTTGTTGAAGAGAATCCTTTCTCCATTAAATAGTCCTGGTACCATGTTGTTGAAGATCATTTGAACACATATGTGAGGGATAATCTCTGCAAGCCCTACTCTATTTGTCTTTATTCCAAACCACACCATTTGGATTACTGTAGCTTTGTAATGCATATTGAAGTGAGGAGAACTATAAGATATCCGCTTTGTTCTTTTTAAAGAGGTCTTTGGCTATTCAAGGTCTCTTGTAATTACATATAAATTTTAGAGGAAATTTTCTATTTCTTTTTTACTACAGCACATTAGTAATACAGACTGATGAAGTTCATTTGGGAAGTTGGTACATGCATTTCACATACCTTGCTCAATTCCAGTTTCATAAGAGGAATTTCAAAGCATTCCTTCCCTTTCTATTACATGGAAAAGTGAGGATAATTGGTGTCAGATCTTCTCAAAAGGTCTGGTAAAATTCAGTAGTAAATCCCTTGGGCTCTGAGCTTTTCTCAGTTGGTAGAGTATTTATTATTGCATCAATTTCATTGCCTGCTATTGGTCTGTTTAGGTTTTAAAATATCTTGTTTCAATTCTTGTAGGTCATATGTGTCTAGGAATTTATCCATTTCTTCTAGATCTCTGATGTATTGGAATATAGGTTTTCAAAATAATTTCTAACACTCTTCTGGGTTTCAGTAGTGTCTGTTGTAATTTTGTCTTTTTCAGTTTTAATTTGATAAATGTGGCCTTCTCTTTGGCTAAGACCAAGTTAATAAAATTAGTAAGTTTGGCTAAGGGGTTATCAATCTTGTTTATCTTCTCAAAGAATCACCTTTTTGATGAATTGATTCTATGTATTGTTTTTCCTTAGTGTCATTTCCATTAATTCTTGTGATAGTCCTTATTATTTCTTTCCTTCTAACCTTGGGTTTGGTTCTGTTCTTTTTCTAGAACTCTGAGATAGTTAATTATGTTATTCATTTGGGGTTGCTCAGGTTTTGTAATATAGGTACTCACAGTTATAAACTTGCCTCTCAGAGCTGCTTTCACTGTCCCACTGATTCTGATATACTGTATTTCCATTAATAATTGATTCTAGAAATTTTTGTTTCTCCCCAGATTTCTCTGTGCCCCATTGATCACTGAGAAGTGTATTATCCAATCTCCACATGTTTGTATAGTTTCTGTGGTTTTCCTTGCTATTGAGTTTCATTCTTCTGTGATCTATAGCATGCATGAAATTATTTCAATTGTTTTATATTTATTGAGACATGTTTTGTGGCCTATTGGTCTTTATGGTCTATGGTCTATTTTGGAGAAAGTTCTATGGCTGAAGAACATGTGTTCTGTTGCTGTTGAATGAATGTTAAATCCATCTGGTTTGTTGTGCAGTGTAACTCTGATGATTCTTTTTTATTTTGTCTGGTTGAACTATTCGTAAGAGAGGGCTTTGGTATTCTCCACTATGATTGTATTAGTGTCTTTTTGTCCTTTTATATCAAGTAGTGTTTGAGTTATGAAATGAGGTGAATATATATTTATAATTTTTATCTCGGCAAATTCTTCCCTTTACCAATGTGTAGTAACTTTCTTTGTCTTTTCTGACAAGCCTCGGTTTGACATCATCTTGTTGAGGATAAGTACAGTACATCCCCGACTTACAAACATTTGAGTTGAGAACTTTCACAGATACTAATAGATCTTGCATTATGAACATCTGTAGATGTGAACAAATCCCAGGAGTACCTTAGGTGTCTGCTGGACATTGTCACAATTGTGCTACTGTGTGCTTACTATGTAATGTGATCCGAAGTATCCTGAGTAGTACAGTGCTCAGTCCAAGCCCAGGATGTCTAGAAGCACGAAGAAAAGCAGTGGTGATGTGGAGGGGACTGCTAGGAAGCACAGAGCAGTAACCATGGAAACAACAGTGAAAATTGAGAGATTGGACTGAAGTGAAAAGACAGATGTTGCTCATTCTTATAACATGAATTTTTCAACCACCGGCACAATTCTGAAAAACAAGGACAAGATCATGGAACATGTGAAGTTTTTTTTATGCTTTACATTGTATACTTGTGTCAAGGTGTATAAGACTCACTTTGTTGGACTTATAAACAAGTTTGACTTATGAACATTCTCCTGGAACGGAACTCATTCTTAAGATAGGGATTTACTACTCTTGCTTGTTTTCAGGTTCCAGTTGCTTGGAGTATCATTTTCTATCCTTTTGCTTTCTGTAGGTCTTTTAGATAACATGTATCTCTTGCAAGAAGCAAATAGATGGGTCTTGTTTGATCCAGTCTTCCAGTTTGCATCTTTTAATTGGAGAGTTAGCACCATTTACATCAAGTGTTATTACTGAAAGATATACACTAATCCCTGTCATTTTGTTGTTATTCTAGAGTTTGAATCTATTTATTTCTCATTCATTTAACTACTCTCTCTCAGTGAGATTTAGTTTTTCCCTTGGCTTCATGGTTATTTTTGTCCCCATCATCTCTGTTAGGGTTCTGTTAAGTATTTTCTGTAATGCTATTTTGGTCATTATGAATTTCTTTAGTTTATTTCTCCTTTGAAGGAAAGTCTTGCAGGATATAATAATATAGATTGGCAGTTATCTTTCAGGGCTTGAAAACTTCATTCTAAGCCCTCCTGGCCATTAAGGTTTCTTTTGAGAAGTCTGTTATTCTGATGGGTTTGCAAATATAAGTAATTTGCTGCTTCTCTCTAACAGCTTTTACTATTTTTTGTTGTTGTTCTGAATTTCTGGCATTTTGACTGTGATGTGTTGTGGGGAAATTTTTTTCTAGTCATTTCTACTTGGTGCTTGAAGTGCTTCCTTTACCTGGCTATTCTCATTTTTCAAGTGTGGGAAATTTTCTGCAAAATTTCAGTGAACAGATTTTTATTTATTTAATGGAAAAAAGTAAAAATTTCATAACAAAATAATAGGAGAATAATAGTATTTAGTACAGTAAGTCTTGTTATCTTTTTATTTTTATTGTTTTGGTACCGGGAATCAAACTCGGGACCTTGAGCTTGCCAGGCAGGCTCTGTGCCACTGAGCTGTATCCCTGGCCTGAGTCTTGTTATCGTTAAAGTGGTTGATGGACAGATTTTTAAGTGCCATTAATCTGTACTTCAACACTCTTTGAGGCCTATGATTCTGAAATTTGTTCTTTTAGAATTGTTTGGAGGTTTTGGATAACTTTTTCACTGTTTTCATTTTTACAGAGTGTATGTTCTAGTACATTTTCAGGTCTTTTCTTAAAGTGCTGGTATTTCTTCTGGATCGGTTTGCCTACTGTTGAGAGTCTTGGTTGAGTTTTTTACTTCCAGGACTTCTGCTTGGTTATTTTTCATTGCCTTTCCCCTGAAGTGTCTTTCATATCCTGCTTCGTCTTCCTTAATTCATTCAGATGCTTATTTGTTTCTCCATTGAGCTCACTGATCATTTTGGTAACTGATTTATTTATTTGATTATTTGTCTCTTTTTTGACCAATCTAAATATCAGTTTTAACAAACTCTTTTGTCTGAAATTTTATCCACTTCAGTATCTGTGGGATCAGCTTTTTGGTAGTTATGAATTTTTGTAGGTGTCTTGTTGCCTAGTTTTCTCATGTTTCTTGTATTTTTGTGTTCAATCTGTAGACCAGTCAGGACAGCAGT